CGCTGGCGCTGGTTTGCGCCTGTCTGCTGGCGCCGGCGCTGGCACCAGACTCTCTTCCTGGCCGCAGACGCGCGTCGGTCTTCCCTCGTAGGCGCCGAGCAGGCGCGGCCGCAGCAGGCGCGGCCACAGACGCGCGTCGGTTTTCCCTCGCAGGCTGAAAAGCACCGCGAGAAGCCGAGGCTGCGGACGAGCGTCGTGACGTGGCGCTGGCCACTGCCATGTGCACAGCGCAGGAAAGGGAGGGCGGTGACAAAAGAGAGGCACAGCTTGAACGAAACACGGCCATCAGTAGTAGTGGCAATGGCAGTAGCTGCAGTAGCAGTAGCTGCTATAGGAATCTACCGGAATCCATTAGAATCTACAGGAATCTATGAGAATCTATATAGGATTCTATAGGGCATATATATATAGGAATCTATACGAATCTATAGGAATCCATAAGAATCGATGGGAAGGTATATACGAATCTATGGGAATATATAGGGATTCATGGGGATCCATGTGAATCCATAGAGAATCTATAAAAATGTATAAGAATCCATTGGGAAAACTACAGAAGTCTATAAGGAATCAATGGGAATCTCCAGGAATCCATAAGAAAAAACGCTCCCGCGGCATTCCCCCGGTTCCCGCCCCCATAGGTACACAAGCACCCGCGGCGAGTCTATAGGGAATCTATAGGAATCTGTAGGAATCCATAGGAAAAAACGTTCCCGCGGCATTCCCCGCAAACACCCGCGGCGAGTCTATAGGGAATCTATAGGAATCCATAAGAAAAAACGCTCCCGCGGCATTCCCGGGTTCCCAGCCCCATAGGTACACAAACACCCGCGGCATTCCCCGGCACCCGCCCAGACCCCCCTAGGGCGTCAAGATGCTCTCTTTTGACACCATTAGAAACCTATCAGTCTTCGCTGTTAGGTAAAAAAAACCCAGAGATCCGCTGTCGCGATTTTTTCAATGCGGGGTCCCTGGAAGTATCGACCCATTCCCCAGGACCGGCTTTTCATCCTGAGTCGTTTTTTGACGGTCCCGGGGCCCGGCAAGGGCCCCTAGAGGCGGAAAGATAAGGAAAACCTCCGTCCCCAGCGATCCAACGTGTTGGAAAATCCAGGAGGTGCTTCGCAACTTTCGGCCCCGTCTTGATTTGTCCCAACCATCCTGTGGTGTTGGGTCCTCGTTTTGAAGAGGCAGCGCCCCGCGTTCCTTCCTCCTTCCGCTGCCCCCATCCCTCCTCCTCGCATCATCGTCGTCAGCATCGTCATCAACATCATCACTATCAGCATCGAACTAATAATCATCATAAAAATCAGAATCACCATCACCATCATCATCATCATCATCATCATCATCATCATCATCATCATCATCAGCCTCATCATCATCATCATCATCACCATCACCATCAGCATTACCACCACCATCATCATCATCATCATCATCATCATCATCATCGTCATCATCGCCATCATCATCATCATCATCATCATCATCATCATCATCATCATCATCATCATCATCATCATCATCATCATCATCATTACCGATCTCAGCACCGCCCCATTTTGGTACACGCCATTTTGGCACCTCTCACGAGGATCGTGGCCCCATAGGAGCTCCACCGAAGGCGCCAGTAGCAAAGTTCGCACGGCGGCCTCGGGCCATTTCGGAACATCCTTCACGAGGATCGTGGCCCCATAGATGCTCCACCGAAGGCGACAGTAGCAACAAGTTCGCATGGCGGCCTCGGGCTATTTCGGCACACCCCTCACGAGGATCGTGGCCCCATAGGAGCTCCACCGAAGGCGCCAGTAGCAAAGTTCGCATGGCGGCCTCGGGCCATGTCGGCACACCCTTCACGAGAATCGTGGCCCAATAGGAGATCCACCGAAGGCGCCAGTAGCAAAGTTCGCATGGCGGTTTCGGGCCATTTCGGCACACCCCTCATAGGATCGTGGCCCCATATGAGCTCCACCGAAAGCGCCACTGGCAAAGTTCGCATGGCGGCCTCGGGCCATGCCGGCACACCCCTCACGAGGATCGTGGCCCCATATGAGCTCCACCGAAGGCGCCAGTAGCAAAATTCGCATGGCGGCCTCGGGCCATTTCGGCACACCCCTCACGAGGATCGTGGCCCCATAGGAGCTCCACCGAAGGCGCCACTGGCAAAGATTGCATGGCGGCCTCGGGCCATGTCGGCACGGCACACCCTTCACGAGGATCGTGGCCCCATAGGAGCTCCACCGAAGGCGCCAGTAGCAAAGTTCGCATGGCGGCCTCGGGCCACTTCGGCACATCCCTCACTCACGAGTATCGTGGCCTCATGAAAAACTCCACCGAAAACCCCAATAACAGGGCTCACAAAATTCGCATGACGACCTCAAGCCCTCCGACAGGCGGAGTCTGGACGAAAACTAGAAAATAGTCCAACAAAATTCAAATAGTCAAACACGTTTTTGTTAGACTAAGTTTGGACTAATTTTGAATATTCCTCCTGTAGGTGGACACGCCCGACTTAACCATAGCTCGTATCTCTGGCGACCGATCGGGGCGATTCGGGCGCGCCGCGCGCCGCGGACCGCGCCGACAGCTCTCCACGGGGCGCGACCGCCGCAGAGCATCCCGAAGCCAGAGAACCACCGAAAGGCACGACACCCCCCCTCGCCCTGCCCATATCGAGCGCGGTGCGGGCTCCTCCCCTCCTCCTCCTCCTCCTCCTCCTCCTCCTCCTCCTCCTCCTCCTCCTCCTCCTCCTCCTCCCGAGGACCGACGACCACGCCCCGCCGCCGCCGCCGCTGGGCAACAGAGTTCGTAGGACCACCTCTCCTTTTCGTCCGACCTGCGTCTTCTCCTTTTCGCGACAGCGACGACGACTACGACGACGATCCAGATGTGGCCCCAGAGGAGAGGGGCGCGGGCTGGAGGGCCAGGGGCGGGCTCGCGCACGCGTGGTCCCACCCCACCGCGGTGCCTCCTCCTCCTCCTCTTGTTTTTTTTACTCCTCCTACTCCTCCTCCTCTCCTCCTCCTCACTCCTCCCCCTCCTCACCATCCTCTCCTCCTCCTCCTCCTTCTCCTCCCCGCCTCCTCGCGCCATCATCAATCATCATCATCATCATCATCATCATCATAATCATTCATCATCATCATCATCACATCATCATCTCATTCGTCATCATCATCATCCTCAATCACCACAGCATCATCAACCATACCCCACCACCATCATCATCATCATCATCATCAGCAGCAGCATCATCATCATCTTCATAATATAATCAACAATAATCATCATCTCTCATCATCAATCCCTCCCCCCATCAGCATAGTAGCAGCAGCAGCAGCATCGTCGTCCTCATCAGCCAGCCCCTCCTCGTCCTCCTTCTCATCATAATAATCATCAGCAGCAGCATTATCACCATCATCATCAGCATAACCATCAGCATCACAGCAGCATCATCATTCCTATTCATATTCATTCATGAATCATCATATCATCATCATCATTATCATCATCATCAGCATCATCATCATCAGCATCAGCATCAGCATCAGCATTCAGCATCAGCATCAGCATCATCATCAGCATCAGCGTCATCAACATCGTCAACAACAGCAGCAGCATCATCAGCATCACCATCACCATCCTCCTCCCCCTCCTCATCCTCCTCCTCCTCCTCCTCCTCCTCCTCCTCTTCCTCCTCCTCCTCCTCCTCCTCCACAAGTACTCAGTATGAATACTACTCTCCCTCTTCCCCTGATGACGGCTTGGGAGTATTCGACCCCCCCCCCGCGTACTGGTGTTTTACACACAGGTTTCCCCGGAGGTGGGTTTTCGCTTGCATTTTTTCCAAAATGCTGCTCTCGCTGAGGCGCCGGCCTCATTTTCGGGCCCCGCTCGTTCCGAATCGTGCTCCCGCTGCAGCGCTGGCCTCATTTCCGCCGGCGCCCCCGCTGCACGCCCGAGCCGGCGCCCGGGCCAGCGCTTGGGCCGGGTCCGGAGCCGGTTCCGGCCGGCGCCGGAAAATCGAGTTCCGAGGCGGCGCCGAAAAAAAGTCATTCCAATACACATTTTTCTTTTGAAAATGCTGAATTTCTACCTCTGGCGCCCGGGAGGCCTCCCGGGCCGATTCCGACGCCCGCCGGAAAATCGAATTCCGAGGCGGCGCCGAAAAAAGGCCATTCCAATACACATTTTTCTTTTGAAAATACTGAATTTCTGATCCTGGCGCCCGGGAAGCCTCCCGGGCCGATTCCGGCGTGCTTCCGCTCGTTCCGAATCGTGCTCCCGCTGCAGCGCGGGCTTCATTTCCGCGCTTCTGCTCGTTTCGACTCGTGCTCCCGCTGCAGCGCTGGCGTCATTTCCCGTGCCATGCCACGGCATGCAATGCAATTCTAGGTTGATACTACGCTTCGCGGTGCTCTTCTACGCCATGCCATGCCGTGCTCTACAATGCATCGCGTACCCTTTCGAGATCATTGCCCTGCTCGACATCCGACTGTGCGAGTAGAGAGGGGATCTGCGCCATGGTGAGGGATGGGAGGAAGGGGTAGGATGTCAGATATGACGCGCGCGCACCTAGCTTGTCCTCCTCCTCCTCCTCCTTCTCCGCCTCCTCCTCCTCCTCCTCCTCCTCCTCCTCCTCTCCTCCTCCTACTCCTCTCCTCCTCCTCCTCTCCTCCTCCTCCTCGCCGCCTCAGCCTCCTCCTACTCCTCCGCCTCCTCAACTCCTCCCCCTCCTCCTCCTACGCCTCCTCCTCCTCCGCCTCGCCTCCATCATCCTCCTATCATCCTTCTCCGCCTCCTCCTCCTCCTCCTCCTCCTCCTCCTCCTCCTCCTCCTCCTCCTCCTCCTCCTCCTCCTCCTCCTCCTCCTCCTCCTCCTCCTCCTCCTCCCTCTTCGTCCGACCCGAAACCACCAGAGGGCCCGCAGGAAGGCGGGGGGTGGGGCGGGCCAGAGGCCCAGAGGCGGGCTCGCGTGCGCGGGGTGCGGGCGCGGTCCGACGGCCACGCCCCGCCGCCGCCGCTGGATGGCTCGGGAGTGATGCCGTTGGCCGTCATGAAGATCTTGGGGCGGAGGAGGAGGAGGAGGACGAGACAGGAGGCAGGAGGCAGGAGACAGGAGACAGGAGACAGGCGGAGGAGGAGACAGGAGGCAGGAGGCAGGAGACAGGAGACAGGAGACAGGAGACAGGAGCAGGAGGAGTGAGGAGGAGGAGGAGGAGGAGGAGGAGGAGGAGGACGGAGGAGGGAAGAGGGGAGGAGGAGGAGGAGAGGAGGAGGAGGAGGAGGAGGCGGAGGAGGAGCGGAGCCGTCCCAAGCGGAGGAGGGAGGAGGAGGAGGAGAAAGCGAGGTCCAGGATGAGGAGGAGGAGGAGGAGGAGGAGGAGGAGGAGGAGCGAGCGCCCCAAGAGGAGGAGGAGATGGAGAAGCAGGAGGAGGAGGCAGTATACAGGAGACAGGAGACAGGAGGAGGAAGAGGAGGAGGAGGAGGAGGAGGATGAGCAAGCGTCCCAAGCGGAGGAGGAGGAGGAAGAGGAGCGAGCGTCCCAGGATGAGGAGGAGGAGGAAGAGCGAGCGTCCCAAGAGGAGGAGGAGGAGGAGGAGGAGGAGGAGGGGAGGAGGAGGAGGAGCAGGAGCGGGAGTGAGGAGGAGGGGAGGAGGAGGAGGAGGAGGAGGAGTAGTGGAGGAGAGGGGAGGAGAGGAAAGCCTTTTTTTCACTTCTTTATGTTTGCCTTAACCGTTTTTCCACCGTGTGCCCAGCCAGGCGTAAGCTGTTCGCGGTCAGGCCTAAGATGGCCATCCCCACTTCTATTCGAACGCATCAGGCCCAGCCTCGTGTCCGCGCAGCGTCAAAGGAGGAGGAGGAGGAGGAGGAGGAGGAGGAGGAGGAGGAGGACGAGGAGGAGGAGGGGGGGGAGGAGGAGGAGCTGCGCCAGCCAGGCGGATTCTCATTTCGTTTCTTTTCATGTGGTCCTCTGTCGATTCGTCTCTTGCGTTTCGTCTTCTTCCGCAGCCCGGCCGAATTGAAACTGGACTGGCGGACAGAAGCAGCGAATCGAAGGGACGAATAATCAAAGCGGACGGAATCGAGCGCGGACGAAATCGAGCGGACGAAATGCAACTAAGACGAAATCCGCCGACCCCTTGGGGATCATCGGCGCGTGAGATGCTTCCCCCTCCCCAAACCCCTCCCCCGGGAGCCCGGTCCGGTCGATTTGGAGGGGGGGGGGGGGGTCGAGCGCGAGCGGGGGGGGTCCGGGACGAGCGGTTCACGGGGCTTTTCCGAGCCCAAGAGGGCCTCAAGACGGGCCAAGAAGCCCCCAAGAGGCCGCCAAGACGGCCCACGAAGGCTCCGAGACGCCAAACGACTGGTCCAAGACGCCCACGATGGCCCCAAGACGGGCCAAGAGGTCTCCAAGACGGCCTCCGAGGTCCCAAACAAGCCTCACAAGAGGACCCCAAGAGTCTAAAATTGTTGATTTTCCATAGTGTTTTTCTATGTTTTTTGCTTTTCCGCCTTTTCGGCTTCCCGACGCTCCAAGACGGCAAAAGAGGCCCCCAAGAAAGCCCCAAGATGGCCCAAGAGGCCCCCAAGACGGCCTCCAGACGGCCCAAGACGGCCCCAATACGGCCCAAGAGGTCCCCAAGACGGCCCAAGAGGGCTCCAAGACGGCACCAAGAGGGGCCCAAGAGGGCGACCAAACATGTTGAAACTCTAGCTTTCTGCCCCCAGGAGCCCCAGGGGGCCCCAAGAGTGCCCCAAGAGGCCACCAGAGGCCCTCACGAGGCCGCCCAGACGCCCCAAGGAACCCCCAAGAAGCACCCCAGAGGCTCCGAAACGGCCCCCAAGTGGCTCCAAAACTCGCTTTTCACCCCTTCGCAGCATCTACTACCCCCAGATTGGCATAAACAAGGGGTCGGCGGTGTGGCGTAAGCCTAAGAATCAAGCGAAATCAAATAAGGTCACCGCCAGCATTATCTCGCCGGCCCCGCCGCTAATGCCATTATTTCGGCTCTGTCCCCTGGCTGTCTCCTATCTCACTGCTCAGGGCCCGCGCACAAGTCTCATACGGTTTCAAAGCAGTTTTACCCACTGAACCAAAACTAAATTCACCAGCTCAGCTGACGTACCAGCTGCACTATGAACACGTCTAACATGCCACTTCACGATGCGCCCGAAAGAGACAACTGGCAAACGAAAAGGGCCATCGCCAAACCGAGCACCGAAGCTAGCCCCTGACCACGACAATGGCCTCCGAATAGCGAGCACAGCGCAAAAACAACCAGACGATGCATGAAAGCACCGAAGGTGGTCCCTGATCGCAGCAATGGGTTGTACAGTCAACCCGTATCATAAGGATGCGCGATTAGGATGCAAGGGCCTTGGAAGTCCATGTCGAAGCTTTTCGAGCGGGGCGCGGCTAACGAAAGTGGCCAAGGATGGACCGAGGAGGCAAGGATGCAAGGGTACCCTTGGGAAGGTTGCCCATCCTTACTATGCGGGTTGACTGTACCCACAATGGGCCCTGAGTTCTGAACTTTGAGTTCGCGCGTGGACATGCGTAGTTTAGAAACTGGAGCGGTGATGTGCTGACTGACCTCGGACACTGACTGGGGCGCTTGTACAATACACAATGCAGAAACAAGGGTGCAGAACTGAGTGACCAGGTTCATCTGTACATAATGGCCATGCGGCAGTCTGGTCCATAAGCATGTCCATGCAGCTCGCACGCCATCCACATGTGTTTTCTGTACTTCAAGTGGCCCCTCAAGGCTGCAGCCCCTGACTGATGGTTCGACCCCTGTCCCCTATGAACGTTGAGACGAACTTCCCCTGAAGTCTGTGAACCCCCTGTGAAGTCTGGCAGGTACACTGCAGGCTGGCCATTCCTAGACCCACGACTGCCGCCGTACAGACGACGCCGGCTATCAGTATCCACCGCGTCTTGCACGGGCAGAATCTCGAAGACCCTGCACAACTCTGGAAGCCTGTTGACTTTTGAGTGCCTTCGGTGTCTGCTGAACTGCCTCCGGACTCATCCCTTCATGCACGTTCGCAGGCATGCGCCCAGAACGTTCACACTTCGCCGCTCTGTCTCAGAGCGTGCACGCACACTTCGTCTCCTCTCATTCTACTTTCCCTGGCTCTCCTTGCCCCCGACAGCGGACTCAGTACGCCCAGGCTTTGGAATGTCCCGAAAGGCTGCCGTCAGGATCGACTCGTCCAGGCGGCCAGGGTCGTACATGCTGTTGGTGTTGGCATCGCAGAAGCTGTGCCAAGCTGCCTTCTGCGCCTGTCGCCAGGTCCACGCTCCTCCTCCCCCTCCTCCTCCTCCTCCTCCTCCTCCTCCTCCTCCTCCTCCTGCTCCTCCTCCTCGTCCTGCTCCTCCTACTCCTCCTCCTCCTCCTCCTCCCCTCCTCCTCCTCTACCTCCCTACCTCCTCCTCCTCCCCCCCTGCCTCCTCCTCCTCCTCCTCCTCCTCCTCCTCCTCCTCCTCCTCTCCCAACCTCCTGGCCCCTCCCCCCGCCTCCTTTGTAGTGATGGTGATGTCTTGACGCCTCGAGGCCTCCTCCCTCCCCCTGCCTCCTCCCGCCTCCCGCCCTCAAACTGCCAGGTCCTCACCCGCCAGATCTAGCAAATTGCCATCCAACGGCCTGGCCATCTGGTGCATGTCAAGCTCAGGCCGGCCCACCTGACAGCCAAATTGCGGGCTTCGCCCGTTAAAACAACCTAGGCTTTCAAGGTGGCTCGGTGGTCCCGTGACTTACGTGCCCTCAAGACGCCCTAAGGTCGTCGTAAGAGGGCCCCAGGAGCCCCCAGGACTGCCGAAGACGGCCCCACGCTGGCTCCAAAAGGCCTCAACGAGTGCCGCTGGGACCGCCCGTGATGCCTCATCAAGGCCTCAAAGAGGCGCCAAGGAAGCCCCCACGACGGCCCCACCCCAAGACTGTCCAAGATGGCCCTGAGGTGGCCTCAGAGGCCCGCAGTTTGCCCCGAGAGGCCCCAAGATGGCCCAACAGGGCGCAGAAGGCCCCAAGCATATGCCGATATAGCCACGCTGTGGCTCAACATTGGGAGCTGACCGCAGAGGGCGCAGCCCTTCGGGTGTAACGACACACGTAGATGGACAAGGAGTGGTGGAATGAGAGACCAGAGGAAGAGAGCGAGCTCTCTGGGCGATTTCGGAAACCGTGAACCCAAAATGGTTTTCATCCCTTGGGGGCACATCTTTCACTTCCGCCGCCGCCGAGCTTCTGCCGGCTTCCGCCGGCGGAGACGGCCTCGTTTTACTTCCGCCGACCTTCTGCCGCCTTCCGCCGAGGAAGAGAGGACAACTCCCTCGATCCTACAAGGCAAGGCCCATTTTTGGAACGCCCCATCCGTCGAAAGGCGACACACTTTGGGCGGGCTCTTCCCCGTCCTCCTCCTCCTCCTCCTCCTCCTCTTCCTCCTCCTCCTCCTCCTCCTCCTCGTCCTCCTCCTCCTCGTCCTCCTCCTCCTCGTCCTCCTCCCCCTCCTCCTCCTCCTCCTCGTCCTCCTCCTCCTCGTCCTGCTCCTCCTCCTCCTCCTCCTCTTCGTCCTCCTCCTCCTCGTCCTCCTCCTCCTCCTCCTCCTCCTCGTCCTCCTCCTCCTCGTCCTGCTCCTCCTCCTTCCCCCATCCAGCCAAGCACTGGAACTGCCAGGCGTGCCCGCTGCGTCCACGCACAACGCCTTCGCTCGCCCCGCGGCCCAATCCACGTCGGAGCCGTCCAAAGGGTCTCCCCAACCAGTCCTCCGCGGCGACGCAGGCCCAGGCGGCCACACCGCGGCCCCCGAGGCGTCAGCGACCCGAAGCTTCGACGAAGTCGCGTCCCGAAGCCCTTCGCTCCCCGCGTCCCGTGCCTCTCCCCTGTGCGCCTCCCTGCTCCCATTCCTCCTCCTCCTCCTCCTCCTCCTCCTCCTCCTCCTCCTCCTGCTATTCCTGCTTTCCTGGGGAAGGGAGGGGGGGGGCGGCTCGCCCGTTCCCGTGTCGCAGGGCACGCGCGCTCGCACGCTCGGGGTCCCTCGCGGGGCCCCGGGGCCGTCAGGTGTTGCAGGCAGCCATGCTCAAGCAAGCGCCGCACAGCTGCAACGTGGAGCCCGAGGCAAAGGGTTAAGAATGAAAGACATGAACATTCAACGAAACGAAAACAGCTTAAAAGCAGTTCACTAGAACACCTGTACAACCGAAGAACATGCAGACTGAAGCCAAACAACATCGAACTACAACTGCTGAAACATGGAAGTTCTTCAACAACTCAGAACAATGTCAAAGGTTCAGATAAAGTTCAGATAACGGTCAACGCAACATCCAAACAATACACAAGTATTCAGATCCCCCCGAAACTACACACACGACGGTAGGAAGACGTCCAAAATGAGTTCAACAACAAGTTCGAGCAAATCATACCAATACTAACTACACGCGTTTCCCAAAGTGTAATCAAACAATTTGTCGTGTACCTTTGAATTCACACTGTTCCGTGGCACTCCGAAGTACTTCTTGCCAAACACAAAAAGTCAACCAAAAAAAACAAAATTTGTCATGGAACTGTTCTGGAACTATATGGAAACTGCCATCGGTTCAACCCTTGCCTCAGGTACACCTTGCAACCCTCTACGGAAGCCACGAGCACCAGCCATCGCTCTCTTGCGCCTTACCTTCCCCATCGCACTCCCTCCCACTCCCTCCTGGTGATCTCCTCGTCCTCGTCCTCGTCCTCCTCCTCCTCCTCCTCCTCCTCGTCCTCCTCGTCTTCCTCCTCATCATCATCCTCGTGTTCATTTTCATCTTGCCTTCCACTTTTCTTGTTGCGCGTCAGTCGACTGGTCGTGGCGGGCACCGGCCGACAGCAACGAGAGCCCACCCGGGGCATCCGCCTCCTCCTCCCCTTCCTTCTCCTCCTCTTCCTCCTCATCCTCCTCTTCCTCCTTCTCCGCCTCCTCCTCATCACCACTACCACCACCACCATCATCATCCTACTCCTCACACTTATCCTCATCATTCTCATAATTATCATACCTATGATCGTTATCATCCTCACTCACATCATCCTCATCTTGATCCTCGACCTAATCCTCATGCTATTCCTGGCCATCACCATCATCAGCATCATCACCATTGTCATCATCCTTCTCATCCTAATCATGGTCATCATCTTCATCCTCATCCGCATCCTCATCCTCATCCCGAGCATCCTCATCCTGATCGTCATCAACCTTGCCCTGGTCGTCATCATAGTCATCATTCTCATCAGCATCATCACAACCATCATAATCACCATCACAACCCTTCACAATAATCATCATCATCAACAAAATATCAGCATCATCAACAGAATCATCATCCTCATCATCAGCACCCGCATCAGCAACATCAGCATCATCATCACCATCATCACCACCATCAGCATCAGCATCAGCATCAGCATCAGCATCAGCATCAGCATCAGCATCAGCATCAGCATCAGCATCATCATCAGCATCATCGTCATCATCCTTATCACCACCACCATCACTATCAGCATCATCGTCATCATCAGCATCGCCATCGTCATCACCATCATCATCACCGCCACCACCACCACCAACATCGCCATCGTCGTCGTCATCATCATCGCCACCACCATCACCATCACCATCATCATCATCATCATCATCATCATCATCATCAGCATCATCATCTCGGGGCCTCCCCCTGTCTCTGGAACGCCTTGATCGCCGACACCAGCGAATCCTTGTTCGAGGCGGGCATGGCGTAGCTCATGCCGCCGTTGGTCTGATTGCCACGGGGAGCAAAATGGAGGCTGAGGAAACACCATCGTAATTAAGAAAAGACGCCCCTACGAGCGAGGCCCTTGAGTAAACGCACCCCATGGAGAAACCACGCAGGGCCGGACAGCGAAGAACGCGCCCAGGACTGTTCAGCAGACTCCATTTATGAGGGTCTGGGTGCTTCCTGCATTAGGCAGGGGGAGGGAGGCGGGGGGGGGAGACAGAGAGGAAGGAGAAGGGATGGGAGGGTGTGGGGCAATCGGTCTGGGGCCAGGTTCGCGCCAGGATCGTTGCAGGCTGTCTCGCTCACTCCCACATGTAGCACCCGAGGCTCCGCAATGGCAAGGGTAGCTATCTGATGGACAGCAACACGGGTGCGCCACGGGTGCTACGCACGCACCGTGCACCAGGTGCGCCAGCGAACACAACAGCACATACACACACTCACACGCACACACACACACACACTCACACACTCACTCTCTCTCTCTCTCTCTCTCTTTCACACGCACACACACACACGCACACGCACACGCACACGCACACGCACACGCACACGCACACGCACACGCACACGCACACGCGCACGCGCACGCGCAC